TAGCCTCCTAATGTCTGTAGGATCTGTAGTGATAACTTTTCTTTGATTTCTGGGGTTGTTAATGTGTTCTTTCTTTTTTTCTCTACCAGTCTAATTCAGGTTTACCAATTTTGATATCTTTTATAAATATGTTTTTTTAATTGATTTTTTGAGAGAAAGAGAGAGAGAGAGAAACATCGATGTAAGAGAGAAACTTTGGTTGCCTCCCCACACACCCCTACAACCTGGGCATGTGCCCTGACCAGGAAGTGGTGCACTGTACGACACTCAGCCAACTGAGCCACACCAGCCAGACCTCAATATCTTTTCAAATAATAACACTGTCAGTTTTTCCCATTCATCTTTTCTCTTCATTTATTTTTGTTATATATAATTTTTTTCTTACATGTATTTTGGTTTTCTTTTTCTAGCTTCTTAAAGTGGAACTGAGGTCATAGAATTCAAACATTTCTTATTTTCTAATATAAACATTCAAAGCTAGATATTTTCCTCTAATGTATCCCATAGATTTTGGTAAGTTGTGTTTTTATTCAGTTTGAAATTGTTTCTAATTTGCTTTGCGATTCCTTTTTGTTTGCTTTGTGATTTCTTCATTAACCCATGGATTACTTACAAGTCTGTCTAATTTTCAAATATTTGGAGTTATTTTAGACATCTTTTTGACTGCTAACTTAATTTCATTTTGAGGTTGGAGAATATCCTCTATATCAGTGTTTCTCAATCTTCCTAATGCCCTCATATTGTGGTCACCCCCAACCATAAAATTGTTTTCGTTGCTACTTCATAACTGTACTTTTGCTACTGTTATGAATCGTAATGTAAATATCTGATATGCAGGATGTATTTAGGCGACCCCTGTGAAAGGGTCGTTCGACCCCCAAAGGGGTCGTGACCCATAGGTTGAGAACCGCTGCTCTGTATGATTTTAATCCTCTTAAATTTATTGAACTCTGTTTTATGGTCTAGCACAGGGGTGGGCAAACTTTTTGACTCGAGGGCCACAATGGGTTCTTAAACTGGACAGGAGGGCCAGAACAAAAGCATGGATGGAGTGTTTGTGTGAACTAATATAAATTCAAAGTAAACATCATTACATAAAAGGGTACGGTCTTTTTTTTTTCTTTTTAGTTTTATTCATTTCAAACGGGCCGGATCCAGCCCGCGGGCTGTAGTTTGCCCACGGCTGGTCTAGCATATTGTCTGTCTTGGTAATGTACCTTTCACACTTGAAAAGAATGTGTATTCTTCAATAGGGTTGTCTTCTGTAAATATCAATTAGATTAAGGAGTTTTGGTAATACTTTTCAAGTAATTTATGTCTTTACTGTTTATGGGGGGTGGGGGGGCAGTGTGGTTTGGTCTAGTTCTATGAGTTGCCGAGAGATGTTAAAATATCTATGACCATGGAATTGTCCATTTCTCCCTTAATTCTGTCAAATTTTGCCTCATGTATTTTGAAGCTTGTTCTTAGGCATGTACAATTTATGATTGTTTGTCTTCTTGATGAGTTGACCTTGTTATCATTATGAAATATCCCTATTTATTCTGGTAGAAGTCTTTGTCTTGAAGTCTACTTTATTAGATATTAACATAGCCACTCCAACTTTCTCCAGCTTCCTGTTTCCATACTATGTCTTTTTCCATCCATTTACTTAAGATTTTTCCTTACATTTAAGATGCACTTCTTGAAGCATATAGTTGAGTTTTGCTTTTTTATCCTTTTGGCAGTATGGAATTGGAATATCTCTTTCAATTATAAAAAACCATTGATTATGTGCTAATGCCTAGCAAGGTCTGTGAAGGGCCTGAGATTATACCCTATTTGCAGGCTAGCAAGTGTCATGTTGGTGGTTGAGGCCAATAGGAATCCCTAATTTGGGGTGCGGTTGGTGAAGGTTAAAAAAAAAAAGGAAACTTTATTCTGCTTAATTGTGATACAGCATAGCTGTGAAGCAGTCCTGGGGCCAGGACCCTCTGGCGTGACAGCTCTGCTCCCTGCTGGTCTGCTTTGTTCTGTGCTGGTCTATTCTGCTGTGATTTGGTCTGCTCCATTCTGTGCCAGTTTGTTCTGGCCTGTACTGGTCTGCTCTGTTCTGCTCTGGTGGGACATCTTAGGTGTTTCAGTTCAGCCTGGGAGACACAGTTTTCAGTCTTGGTGGAAAGGGAAAGTGTGCTTATAGAGCAGAGGGGAGCTGGTTTATATGGACAGAAGTCCCTGCCCTCATGCAAATGAGGATTCCAAGTCATCCAAGATTGATTGGTCCAAAAGGCACTCCTGATTGGTCAGAATAGAGCTGCCCTGATTGGTCAGAGGTACACAACTCTGGATGGAGAAAGCCTCAGTCATAGTGGTTGAAATAGGATTCTAGGAACTCCTTTTTTAAGGGCTGGGTCCAATGGCAGAGTGCAGGCTTCTCCCTGAAGTGTAGTTTGCATGAGAGGCCCCTTTGTAAAAATGGCTGCTAGGCTCTGTTTTTTAAAAAATTTGAGACCAGTTAGCCACCATGAGCCCTTCTTAGTAGATGTCTTCTTAGGGTTCACACAGGTTAACCTGCCACAGTTTAATTGGATGCTAGTAGGAGTTGTGAGACTCTTTGGTCAGAGATAAAGAACAATGCACTATATAGCAATAGCAGTAGCCACAGAATCAGCCCCAATTTGCACAGTTATGTGGAAGAGTGACACCTATACATGGAATGAGTGGGTTGTGTCATAGAGGAATACCAGGGTTGGGGAAACTTAAATCATTATAATGGGTAGTAAGCATGCCTCCCCTTTTCTCTGAGGGAGATGCCCGATTATACCAGGTTTATTCTTATTTAGAGCACTGAGAGGTTAGCCTTTTGCATTCTCTAGTAGATAGTATGAAGTAGCAAATGTGTAGATATTTTTATGACGGTAAACAATATGAAAGCTAAAGAACATCCTAAGCTGTGTTGTACTTTATTGTTAAACTAGGGGCCCAGTGCACAAATTCGTGCACCTTGAAAGGAACTGTGGGCCATGAGGCTGTGGTGGGCGTAGGGGCGGGTCTTGGCCCATCCTCAGCACCCCTGCCCGGCCCCCTCCCACTCTGGCCCTAGGTCCCCTGTCTACCGGCAGCCCGGCTCCCACCGCCGCCGCTCCCACACCCTGACGGCACCGGCCCTGGTTGCATCCGCTGATGGCGTGGAACAATTGGGGCCAGCACCAGCAGCAGGTGTGAGTGGGGCTGGCGCTGTCAGCAGGTGTAAGCGGCGGCTGCTGCCCCGATCGCCCCTCAGGAGCAGGGGGAGGTGGCGAATACCTGAGGGGCAATCGGGGCCTGCAACCGCCACTTGCACCTGCTGACAGTGCTGAGCAATTGGGGTGGTGCCAGGTGCCGGCAGTAGGTGCGAGCAGGGGCCGGTCCCAGCAGCAGATGTGAGTGCCCAGCGGGACTGTGGCGTGCGGGAGCAAAGAACTTGGAGTAACCACCAGAGGCTTGCTCTGATGACAGTGACTGGTGCCCCGCCTTGGTCTGGCACCCCTGCTCACCTGCTCCACCATCCCGCTACGTCCAATGCCGGTCATGTTCCGCATGCACCCCCCCGGTGGTCAGCGCACGTTATACTGACCAGTAGTTCAGTTGTTCTGCTGTTCGGTCTATTTGCATATTAGGGTTTTACATATGTAGATTCTAAATTAACTTTTGAGAAGAAAATGCCTTTGTGCCTTGTATTGCTAGGGATAATTAAAAAGTTGATGCTCACAGATGAAGGAAGCACTGTCACACACATGGTATGTGGCTAAGAATGCCATTGTTCCCCGCCACGCATCGGACTGGGGTCTGGTGCGGAGAACCCTTCGTCCTGGGAAACGGGGTGCGGCCAGAAAGGGGGCGCCCCCACGCCCTTCGCTAAACCATTTGTAGACGACCTGCTTCTGGGTCCAGGTTTGGTAGGTAGCAGAGCAGCTCCCTCGCTGTGATCTATTGAAAGTCAGCCCTCGACACAAGGGTTTGTAGATTAAAAAAAAAAAAAAAAAAAAAAAAAAAGAATGCCATTGTTCATTATGTAAGAGAGTTCCTGGCACTTGAGTCACACTTGTTTCAAATTCTAACTCAACCCCTTCCTAGGTATATAAACTTGGGCAAATTCTTTAACCTCTCTAAACCTCAGTTTTATATTCTGTAATATGGGAATAATAAAAGCATGCCTCTTATGGATTACTGTAAAGGTTAAAAGGTGGGGTTTAAGTGTTAGATTATATTGCATTTTACATAAATCCAAAGGGCATTAATCTTAAAAGGAGAATGAAATTATAATTAAATAAATGGTGAGGTTATTTTCCAGAAGTAAAGAATTTTAATTAATTGGTTCTTATCAGCACATAGAGCTAGCACAGTGGTTCTCAACCTTGGCTGCACATTAGAATCACCTGGGAATCTTTTTAAAATCCTGATTTCTGGGCCTCACCTCCGGAAATTAATGTTTCTTTGTTATGGGGTGGGGCCACAACATTAATAACAAAGAATCGGGATTGACGGAGGATGAGTCACAGAAATCAGGATTTTAAAAGGATTCCCAGGTGATTCTAATGTGCAGCCAATGTTGAGAACCACTGAGCTAGGAGATTAAAACTTTATTAATGAGAATGGTCAGAGAATGAAGTACTCTTGTTAATTGAGAGATGAGGATTATGGCCAGAGTTTTTTGCTTATTGTTAAACATATTTCAAACAGCAGGCTCTTTTTCTTTCCTTAGAAAGTACTGCATCTAGAAAGGCAATTTAATACTTTCTTGGTAATTGAGAAACTTTGATGGTTGTATGAGGATTATTTTTTAATTATTAGCTTTATGTATAATTTTTTAAAGAGACTACGAATGAATCTTTTTTTTTTAAAATATATTTTATTGATTTTTTACAGAGAGGAAGGGAGAGAGATAGAGAGTTAGAAACATCGATGAGAGAGAAACATCGACCAGCTGCCTCCTGCACATCTCCTACTGGGGATGTGCCCACAACCCAGGTACATGCCCTTGACCGGAATCGAACCTGGGACCTTTCAGTCCGCAGTCCGACGCTCTACCCACTGAGCCAAACCGGTTTCGGCCGAATGAATCTTTACCAAGAGCAAAACATATCTTGAAAGTTACTAGACAAAATAAGATGATAGATGATTGCTTTTATTATCATAAAAATGGGGTACAAAGAAGAAAACCCTGATTAACTTAAGAATTTATTTTAGTTATGAATTTTAAAAAATTTTAAAAAAATGTAAAGGCAGCTTGGGATAGGAGAGTGAAAACTAGGGCCAAAGACATGAATTTTAATTACAGCTGTAGCACTAACTACCTGTAATGTCTTTGAGTCATTACTTTTCTCTGGCCTCTGTTTCTTCATTGTAAAATTAGCGTCTTGGGCGTCGGTTCCAGGATTCTTTTAAATTTTGTAGTATCTGTTGAAATAGTTAAGAAATCAACTCTGAATCAGGTCATGTAGAATGTTTGATTTGAAAGTCCTTAGTTTGGACAACCTAATTATGTTATCAATAGGCTCTTTTCGCCTCCTCATCTTTAGTTATTAGAATCGTTCATGCTTTCCTCTAGTAGCTAGAGTCTAGCTAGCTGGTAAGTGTACAGACCAGTTATGTTAATATTGAGATAGTAGTTACAGGTTTTGGTGCCAGCTTTTGGTGTGTGTGTGTTTCTTTATTTGGGAAGAAAGAGATTAGCAAGTGGTTTCATATAGTTTTATTCAATGTGAGTTATTCAGGCATTTATTGAACATCTACAATGAGGCATACACTGGGTATAAAGATATTAAAGCATAGTTTTGTCTTTCTGATGTGCAGAGAAGGTGATTCACGATTCAGAACTTAGGTGACATCTTTAAAAATCTTTTCCTGATTGCTCCTTTCTCCCTTTCTTAAATCCAGGGCTGGTCTAAGTGCTCTTCCTTTGTGTTTTACTGGTATGCTGTGCCAGGGCTGCTATGACTGTGGAATTGGTGTTCTGCATAAAGGTACCTCGCTGAGGGCGTTGGTGGGGGCTGAAATCCAGATTTTATTTTGCTTGATGAACTGTCCATTTGCTTTTTCACCTTTTTCTAATTCACCTGACCAAAGGAGGCCTTCCCCCCTCGCCCCCCAATTCTTAAAAAGAATTTGTATATGCTAGCTAGCAGATATCTACATTAAGAACAGTTTGTAGTGTGCTTTTTCTTTTTTTGTATCTAAGTTTTATACTAGGTAATAAATGTGTTGAGGTGATTTGTTGAAGTGAGAAAATGCTTCCTGAAGTTGAATTCTTATGTAATTTTGAAAGAAAAGTGAAAGTTAGCTAGCCAAGAGTAGAATAATGGATAGGGAATGGTATTTCAGGTGAATGCAAAGGGACAGGGTTGTGATCTAGTGTTGCCCATTGCTTTTTCAAACTTTGGTCCTTGCACCAGCAGTGTCAGTATTACCTGGGAATTTGTTAAAATTCAAGACCTTGAACCTCACCCCAGTCTGACTGAATCAGAAATTCAGGTGATTCTGCTGCAGACTGAAGTTTGAGAGTCACTACTATAACCCACTTTGTGAGGAAGCATTAGTTAAATGTATGTTCAGACCATAGGGTACCTGTGAAAGAGTGATTAAAATATAGAGCTGTTAGCAGTGACCAAAGTGTCTAGTGTGCCAAACTAGAGTTTGAACTTTGTCCTTAGGCCTGTGGTTGCACATTAGAATTACTTGCGAGTTTTAAAAATATACCAGTGATTGGGATCAACTCCAAACCAACTGATACGAAATCTCTGAGCATCTGATGCACATTGTGAACTATGTAATTGACTGAACTTGGTTATTGATTATAATAGTATACACCTTTACTGAGAATATGTCAAATACTATGTCAGGTAGCATGATAATAATGAAATAACAGCATTTTATGGAGGTATTATTCCCATTTCACAGATGAAGTAGAGAGATTAAATACTTTTCCCCAATATTACCTACCTAGGAAGTGGTGGGTTTGACTACAGGTTTTTGTGACTCTAAAGTCTAGTGTTTTAAGCAATTTTTTTTTAAACCCAGGGTACATAAACTTAGATGGAATACAATCATATCTTTTATTTATTTTTTATTGATTTCAGAGAGAAGGGAGAGGGAGAGAGAGATAGAAATACCCATGATGAGAGAAAATCATTGATTTGGCTGCCTCCTGCATGCCTCCTTGAGCCCACAACCTGGGCATGCGCCCTGACCGGGAATCGCACTGTGACCTCCTGGTTCATGAGTTGATGCTCAGCCACTGAGCCACACCGGCTGGGCACCAATCATATCTTTATTTCTCTAACCTCTAAGTGAGATTTAGCATTTTCTTTGATTTTTGAATATAGGTAACAAATCACAGTTGTATAAGCAATACCTGTGACTTTGTTACCAATAGAAATCAGAAATACTTTCATATTAAATTACAGATGTTGCAGATATCTCAGAATGTTTAGGCTATAATTGTTAGACCCACCTAGATATATATTATTTTAAATTCTAACCCAAGGATATGTTTCTTTATTGATTTTTAGATAGTAATAGAGAGACAAACATCAATCAGTTGCCTCCAGTATGTACCCCGCTGGAGATCAAACCCGCAACCTAGGTATGTGCCCTGACTCGAAATTGAAGCTGCAACCTTTTGGTGTACGTTTGATGCTTCAACCAACTGAGCCACCTAATCAGAGCCCACCTCTAGACCTTTATTTGCTGTGTTAAAGAAGTATATATATTGCTATGTCATAACTTTGCTTTTTAAAATACATTGATAATTGTATTTGAGTATAATTAATAATGCATTTTCTAAGCATGCTACCATGTGCTGAGGAAGAGAGATTAGTAGGGTAGGGTAGAAGGGAATTTAAAAAATCCATTTGTTTGGTTATCTCTCAGAATAGAGATGAGGTCCTTATAAAAGAGACAATTTCTTTTTCATTCTCCAGTCCCTTTTTATTTGACTTGTTAAATAGGACTGAATGCCAAGCTTTTTGTTACATGTCAAAGTTCTAGATTAAAAAATACTTTGGGTTTAGATTGCTTTTTTCTAAGCACTTCCAAGAAAAATTAGAGATAATGATATGCATTATCTCACCAGTCATTCTAACTATCCTGTAGTCTCGTAAGTGCTGTTCAATAGAACTTTCTGCAGTGATGGAAATGTTTTGTGTGAGTGCTGTCCGATTAATTACAATGTTGCAAAGAGACAAAATAACATAATAATAATTAACAGCAATATAACAATTTTCTATAATAAAAAGCATAATATGCTAATTAGACTGGACGTCCTTCCGGACGACCTTCTGGTCGAAGCTGGGTCTGCGAGGGAAGCTTGGGTCCTGGGTGCCAGAGGGAAGCCGGTGCCGGCAGCCGGGGGAAGGAAGGCCTACCCTTGCACAATTTTCATGCGTCAGGCCTCTAGTCTATAGTAATAAAAGGGTAATATGCAAATTGGTCACAACACCCTCACAGTCAGGACCGGATATACTAGTCACAAACAGTATGCAAATTGACCCTCCAACAATAAGAGAGGAATATGCTAATTAGCCTGGGTATGCTAATTAGCCACAACCAGTATGCAAATTGACCATCGCTCCAACACACAAGATGGCTGCCCCCATGTGGTCAAAGATGGCCTGCAGGGGAGGGCAATTAGGGGTGACCAGGCCAGCAGGGGAGGGCAGTTGGGGGCGACCAGGCATGCAGGGGAGGGCAGTTAGGGGCGACCAGGCCTGCAAGGGAGGGCAGTTGTGGGGGACTGGGCCTACAGGGGAGGGCAGTTGGAGGCAACCAGGCCTGCAGGGGAGGGCACTTGGGGGGTGGACTGGGCCTGCAGGGGAGGTCAGTTGGGGGGAACCAGGCCTGCAGGGGAGGGCACTTGGGGGGTGGACTGGGCCTGCAGGGGAGGTCAGTTGGGGGGGACTGAGCCTGCAGGGGAGGGCAGTTAGGGGTGATCGGGCCAGCAGGGGAACAGTTAAGCGTTGACCAGGCTGGCAGGGGAGTAGTTAGGGGATGATCAGGCTGGCAGGCAGAAGCATTTAGGGGCGAGCAGTTGGGAGCCAGCAAGCAGTCCTGGATTGGAGAGGGTGCAGGCTGGGCTGAGGGACACTCCCCACCCCCCAGTGCACGAAATTTGTGCACCGGGTTTCTAGTATATAGCTGATAGTATTGTTCATATGCCAGGTACTGTTTTAAGCATTTTACATATGTTAACTGAGGTAGTCCTTACAACAACCCTATACGGTGTGTACCATTGATATGACATGGATACTGTTGTTAAGTCTCTGTTTACAGATGAGGAAATTGAGGCACAGACAAGTGATTTTCCAAAAGTCACATAATTAGCAGAACTGAGACTCAGACCCTGGCAGTATGGCTTTCTTTATGTTCCCTTTACAGTGTAGTCCTTTATCACTTTCTTTAAACCCTCAAATGCATATAGTACAGAATGCTGTCAGAAAGAGTATACTAAAAGGAATTTAAGATAAGCCATTTTGTTCTATTATTAACTGAAGTTTATAATACTTTCTCCTTTATTATTTGAATCTAATCATAACTAACATAGATATTATTAAACAGTAATTTAGATTTTACCCTTCAAGATTAATTTAAAGCTTGGTTCAAAAATTGAACATTAACACAGACATACTTGTTTTATTGCACTTTGCAGTATTGTGTTTTTTGCAAATTAAGGGGTTGTGGCATTGAACAAGTCTGTTGCCACAGCATTTGCTCAATTCATGTCTTTGTGCCACATTTTGATAATTCTCGCAATATTTCAAAGTTTTATTATATAATATTTGTTATGGTGACCTATAATCAGTGATCTTTGTTGCTGTTGTAATTGTTTTGGGGCACCATGTACCATGCCCACATAAATGTTATGTGTGTTCTGACTGCTCCCCTGACTAGCTGTTCCCCCATCTCTTTCCCTTTCCTTCGGCCTTCCTATTTTCTTAGACATACAGTATTGAAATTAGGGCAGTTAATAACCCTACAATGGCCTCTAAGTGTTGAAGCAAAAGGAAGAGTTGTGCCTCTCTCACTTTAAATCAAAAACTCGAAATGATTAAGCTTACTGAGGAAGGCATGTCAAAAGCTGAGATAGGCTGCAAGGTCTCTTGAGGTCATCAGTTACCCAAATTGTGAATGCAGAGGAAAAGTTCTTGAAGGAAATTAAAAGTGCTATTCCAGTGAACACATGAATGATAAGAAATCAAAACAGCCTTATTGCTGATATGGAGAAAGCTTTAGTGGTTTGGATAGAAGATCAAACCAGTTATAACATGCCTTTTAGCCAGCGGTTCTCAACCTGTGGGTCGCGACCCCTTTGGCGGTCGAATGACCCTTTCACAGGGGTCGCCTAAGACCATCCTGCATATCAGATATTTGCATTACGATTCATAACAGTAGCAACATTACAGTTATGAAGTAGCAACGGAAATAATTTTATAGTTGGGTCACAACATGAGGAACTGTATTTAAAGGGCCAGAAGGTTGAGAACCACTGCTTTTAGCCAAAGCTTAATCTAGACCAGTGATGGCGAACCTTTTGAGCTTGGCGTGTCAGCATTTTGAAAAACCCTAACTTAACTCTGGTGCCATGTCACATATAGAAATTTTTTTATATTTGCAACCATAGTAAAACAAAGACTTATATTTTTGATATTTATTTTATACATTTAAATGCCATTTAACAAAGAAAAATCAACCAAAAAAATGAGTTCGCGTGTCACCTCTGACACGCGTGTCATAGGTTCGCCATCACTGATCTAGACTAAGGCCCTAACTCTTCAATTTTACCAAGGCTGAGAGGTGGGAAGCTGTAGAAGAAAAGTTTGAAGCTAGCAGAAGTTGGTTCATGAGGCTTAAAGAATGAAGCTGTTCCATAACATAAAAGTACTGATATAGAAGCTATAGCAAGTTATCCAGAGGATTTAGTAAGATAATTAATGAAGGTGGCTGCACTAAACAACAGATTTTCAATGTAGACAATGTAGCCTTACATTGGAAGAAGATACCATCTAGGACTTTCATAGCTAGAGAGAAGTCAATGCCTGGCTGCAAAGCTTCAAAGGACAGGCTGATTCTCTTGTGAGGGGTAATGCAGCTGGTGACTTTAAATTGAAGCTATGCTCATTTACCATTCTGAAAATCGTAGGCCCCTTAAGAAATGTGCCATATCTACTTTGCCTGTGTTCTATACATGGTAAAAATAAAGCCTGGATGACAGCACATCTGTTTATAACATGTTAACTGAATATTTTAAGCCCACTGTTGAGACCTACTGCCCAGAAAAGAAAGATTCCTTTCAAAATATACTGCTCGTTGATAATGCACCTGGTCACCCAAAAGCTCTGATGGAGATGTACGATGATACGAATGTTGTTTTTATACCTGCTAATATAGCATCCATTCTGCAGCCCATGGATCAAGGAGTAATTTTGACTTTCTGATCTTATTTAAGAAACATTTAGTAAGACTATAGCTGCCAGAGAGAGTGATTACTCTGATGGATCTGGGTAAAGGAAAATAAAAACCTTCTGAAAAGGATTCATAATTCTAGATGCCATTAAGAACACTCACGATTCATGGGAAGAGGTCAAAATTAACAGTTTTTGAAAGAAGTTGATTCCTCATGGATGACTTTGAGGAGTTCAAGACTTCGGTGAGGGAAGTAACTGCAGATGTGGTGGAAATAACAAGAGAACCAGAATTTGAAATGGAGTCTGAAGATGTGACTGAATTATGCAATCTTATGATAAAACTTGAAAGGATAAGGAATTACTTCTTTTTTTAAAAAAATATATTTTTTATTGATTTCAGAGAGAAAGGGGGAGGAGAGAAAGATAGAAGCATTAATGATGAGAGAGAATAATTGATCAGCTGCCTCCTGCACACCCCCTACTGGGGAATGAGCCTGCAACCCAGGCATGTTCCCCTACCGGGAATCGAACCGTGACCTCATAGGTCAACGCTCAACCACTGAGCTACGCTGGCTGGGCAGAATTACTTTTTACGGATGAGCAAAGAAAGTGGTTTCTTGAGATGGAGTCTGCCGGAAGCCGGTCCACCCTTGCTGCTTGACACAGTCGCTGCAGGGAAGAAACATCTGCACAGCTTATGTTTCAAGGGACCTGGCATATATGGCATATGTTTGCTCCCTCTCTTAGCGCTATGTGTTTTAAACAGGACTACCTCCCCGAGAAAGGTTGTTTCCCCAGGTGAGGATTTTTCCCTGGAGTTAGGGATTAATAGGACTAAGACTGTTGGCAATAAATTTGGGACTTGTTGGGCCCACATCCCCAGGGGTCTGCCCACCAGGGAAAGCACCAAAGCCTGTACCTCTGGAGACCACCGACACAGGGCAGTCCCAGGGAAGGCAAGCAGCGAGGCTGGGAGGACATAACCTTTACTTGGTAGGATAATCTCCTTCAGTCACTTCCTTGTAGTTTATCAGTAGAGCGGTGACCTTGGAATAGCCCTTATAATGGAACACAGAGATTAACCTAGACCAGGGGTGGGCAAACTTTTTGACTCGAGGCCCACAATGGGTTCTTAAACTGGACCGGAGGGCCGGAACAAAAGCATGGATGGAGTGTTTGTGTGAACTAATATAAATTCAAAGTAAACATCATTACATAAAAGGGTACGGTCTTTTTATTTTTTTATTTTATTCATTTCAAACGGGCGGATCCGGCCCGCGGGCCGTAGTTTGCCCACGGCTGACCTAGACAGTATTAAACTCAACGGAACTAAATTAACAAACGCCCTAACCTTTGGAACAGAATGGATAGGATTAAAATTAACTGGTATAAATACAGATGTAACAGGACAATAAAGAGAACCTGGCTAGAGAACCTGGCTATGATGATCAACTGAATGCTGTCTCCGTGTCATTCCTTCTTCGCCGACTTCGTCCACACCTTTGGGAACCCCTGCACCTGCTGGGGCTGGACCCCAAAAGGAGTCTCAATTTTTGTCTTTGTGCACAATAACTTTGTTTCAAGGCCAAATTATAAAATAATATTTTAA